CCCCAAAACCCCAAAACCCCAAAACCCCAAAACCCCAAAGTCAAAAACAAATGTATAGTCAAGAATAATTATTATGAATCAAAGTTATTTCAAACATACTTGGGAATTATAATTGAAAATAATAGCAAAAATTGTACAAAATCATCATGAAATATTCATCCAATAAGCTTGTCAATCAAACTAGCTACTCATTTAAGACTTCAATTATTCTAAACATCTATCTAATCCTTTTAATGATGAGCAGAGTTGAATGCTAATCAAGTTATAATAACATAACTTTGTCGGATTTACTGGAGCCTTCTGCTGTAGGCTTATGCCATAAATGCTTCCTATAAAATGACTCTTCAATGTATGTTTAAGATAAGCCAAGTTGCTATGTAGTTCTTAATGGTTAGAAATACGTACCTCCAGCATTTAAATAGATCAAGCAGAAAGATTGCTATAACTTAGGAGACTATTATACAGTTGCTAATCAATATTGCACTGGACAAATAACTAGTCTATTCTCTTGCACTGGAAACTGTGCATAGACTGATGTAGAAAAGAATGTAATGTATGCAGGATAAACGTATACAATCTCAGCGGATTCTCGCTGCCAATATAAATTATTTTTGTCTAATGATTACAACGACACGGCTCTTAAGACTTAGAAAATGACTTATATTGACTAAAAAGATTCTAATATCACTTTCTTTATCAGAAGGAATTTCCAATACTACGACTCAACATATAACTTTTAGTTAGTAGAATTCAATATCGCCAATCCAATATACAATGCTAGCTATATTTTAGTGGTTAATACTGGCAACAAAGCATAAACCTTTAAATTAAAAACTATTACAGGTGGTGCTACAGGAGGAAGTGGAAATACTGGAAATAACACAGATACAGGTAACAATGGTACTGGTAATAACACTACCACAGATGGTAATAATACTAATGGAGGAAATTCATCAAATGGTACTGCAGGAAATAACAGCACAAATAATAACAATACTAATAATGGAACAAATAACAACGGAACTGGCAGCAATAATGGTTCAAATAATTCTAATTCTACTAACAATAATACAAATAACAATGGTACTGGCAATAATGGGGGTACTCCGACACCTAACCCTAATGTAATGGATTTCGATCTCTATAATAGGACGAAGGCAACGACAAGTACGTATACTGTAACAGTCTAATCAATGATAAAAAATAAAACCATAGATGCTTTAACGCTTCAGGTATCATCCAGTTTGATGACTTTTAGTCTGATTAGCATTATCTTAAATACAATTAGCTTGTGAATATATCTTAATTTCTTAACAAAAATCAATTATGTTCTGATATCATCCTTATTATAGAATTTTAGTCCAACGGGGTTTTGGGGTTTTGGGGTTTTGGGG